GGCGTACCCAGAGCAGGCTGGGGGACAATTCTGACAGAGTCGTCAATTGATGAGGATGAGGCCGGGAGAAGAGGTAGCTTGCCGGCGTGTAGGGTGGTGCTGCTGGCGCTGGGGCCGACCATGTCATCAGCGTCGCAACTAGTGTTCCAACATGTTTGCAAGCGCAGCCGCTGTCCCTGGAAAAATTCAACTGCTGGCATCTCCGGCGACGCCGCAGCTGCGGCATGCTTCGGCTGCCGCATGATTTGAAGAGCACTGCTGCTGCTGCCACGCCGGGAGCACCGCTGCTGCTGCTGGTGCTGCTGCTGCTGCCGTCAACAGTACTGCTTCATGCGGCGCTTCGGCCCGCCTGCTGCCTAGTGACACCAGCGCCGCCACCCGCGGGTCGCTGCCATGGCCCAGGAGGCCCGCAGCGCTGGCCACCCGCCTCCACTGAGCAGGGCGCCGTTGATCAGCCCCGCTGCGACCGCCGCGACGCCGCGAGCGACCCGCCGCAGCTGCGCGGGACTGCGAGACACCCCTCTTGCCAAGCGCCCGCGGCGCGCTCTCCGCCTGGAGCGCTGGCTGCTGCGCTACTACTGCCGCTGCTGCCGCCACGCAATTTGCCCGTGGCAGCTGGCTGTCTGCTGCCAACCACGCTGCCTGCGCAGCATCCTGTTGCCGCTGCCGCCCGGCAAGGCCCAATCATACCTACTGCCGCCACAGAGGCCGCCTGCCTGCCCTCACTGCCTCGATAGCGCCTGCTGTGGCCGCCTCCTTCCAGCCGCCGCCCATCCAGCCCGGCCCCGCCGCGCCCGGAAACGCCGTCCTTCCGCTTTCGCCACGCATTGCGCAACTGCAGCACCCTGGTCGCGCTTGCAGCACCCCACCGCCAGCTGTGCCGCAGCACATTGGTCCATGCGAGCCGGGGCTCTAATGTCCGCGCACCTCGTCGCTGCCGGGGCAGATGTCCTTGATGCACAGGTACACCATGCGCCGCAGGTGGGGGTCCTTCGCCTGGAACAGCTTCGTGGCTGCGAAGAACACCTCGCTCGCCTCTTTCTGCGCTCACAGGATCAACGGAATGCGACGGGAGCGGCTGGGCGCGAGGGCTGGTCGAAATCCGCCCGGTCAGGTTGCGGCCCGCTGCGCTTGCGACGGATTACTAGTACCGCTGGCGCACGGCGACAGGCGCTGCGGCGCAATGCGCACCTTGGTGAAGGTCTCCCCCTGGTTCAGCAGGTACAGCAGCTTCGTGATGACCTGCAGGTATGGTATGATTGACCGTCAGGCCTGAAAGGAGCCCCCAGCAGCGGGCGAACGGGGTGGTTGGGGAGGCGCCCGACACTGCACACACCTGGCTGCATCGCCTGGGGTCCAGGTTTGGGTCATGGAAGATGCGAGCCTCCTGCAGCACAGCTCCTTTTTCGATTCCATAAAAGGGGGAGTACTCGGCTGCGGGGGTGGGCAGCAGTGCAGATCGTGGTGGATGATCGGGCCCCCACGGGCCCGGACCGCCCCGACGAGGGTTTTATGGATATACTTGCTTCTCCATCAGCTGATCGGCTGCCCTGGAGGTGGCGGTTGGGGGGCCATTCCTCAAAACACTTGAGAGCTCACTCTCATACTCGTCCTCGTCCTTCTTCTCCCCTGGGACGTTCAGGGGAGCTGTGCTGTCTTGAGCAGTAGCAGCCATAGCTGCTGGCTACCGCATAGATAGGCTCCCTCTGCCGGCCCTCCCGGTCTGGTTTGTGGTGATCTACAGCACGGCGTTAGATATGCTTGTGTTTGTCTTCCAATTGATCCACTAAACAAATTGGCAGTCGTCACTGAAACGCAGGGTGAGGCGGACAAGTGGCGAAGTGGGTGAACCGCCTGCACATCCATCAGGCGCAACAGCACCAGCATACGGTACTTTCCCAAGCTCTTCCTTCTACTTTCAAGCAACCAATCCTTCGTGGGCGAATAAGTCAACAACAATTATTGTTGACCAGCCACAACCCAGTTAGTTCTCCACCTGCCATGGGTTTGATGCTGCACACAGTCGGGCGGCACAATGTACCGCAGGCACCGCTCACTGAGGCCCAGACAGGGCAGGCCTGCCAGGCCCACCCTGGGCCCCACATTTAGAACCTCACGCAATTTTCTGCACTACTCCGGGTGAGTTTGATCTACACCGCGGTAAATGTGCGGCTTTCTTTGGCGTATCGTCGCCTCTTGTGCACTGATTGTTCTGCAGCACCAGAACAGTATTCACTGTTGTTGAAGCGCACTGCCATCATCGCATTGCGGACGCCCTTATCGAGTCCCATTTTGATCCTCATCTGTGGTCAATAGGTGCATCGATCGCGCACCGCAAGCCAAATTAATGCGACGCCCCCAGGCACTGCAAGGGCAATAAGCGCAAATCTAGTATCTGCGTCGACCGATTCAAACACCGCACATTCCCGCTGATACTGAATGATCATGAACGACATTAGAGGTCCATTTAGGGTGGTCGGGGGCCACTACTGAGCGTCATCACCAGACCAAGCAAGCGCCCTTCACAGCAACGAATGGGACCAGCACGCCTGTCGCTGCCCACGCCGATGTCAGACCCGCCAGCTACACAAGGCAAAAAAATTGTGCAGACAGCAATTTATTGAGTGATGTTACTGCACAGCTGCTTGCTTATGAAAACAAAGCAGAGCAGCACCACCTGACGCATGCACACGCACCAAACGCCAAGTGCACACGCACAAGACAGGCAGGGTTCTTCGGTCAATGAGCCATAAATGCATAAATACATGAAAGAAAGCTTGGATTATGGGTAACGTATGTTGGACGGTTCCATCCTTTATGCTGTTTTTGTTTGCAAAGGCAGGCAAGCAGTGCTGCAAATTTTTTGGGTGCAGCAAGGAATTAGGTACCATATCGGCTCTGAGAGAAACCCTAACCCCTGAACAAGCAAAGGGCACAAGGCCAAGATGAGGGTGGGTGGACTATCTGTAACTGCAGCAAGTGAAGAAGCAGCCAGGAGGAGGGCATCTGAAAGTTTAAAAAGGATCGCTAGTGATGCACCCGCAGCAGCGGCAGGTCGGGCGGCGCATGGCTACGCAGTTGTCCAAGGAAGTGCCTCCTGCACTGTGCGTTCGTGGTATGCCTCGTTTGTGCAGGTGGAAATGAGGGGGGCTGCAAGCCACGCTTGCCGTGGCACTGGAAGATAGTTGATGTGTGCTTGGTCATTAAGGTAGCGTTTCGTGTGCAGGCGCTCACGCGGGCGCCCTGTTGCGCATGCACTGCCTCAGCATGCGCCGCCCCGGTCCGCCTGCGGCGGACGGCGCGGGCACGTACTTGGGCGGCCCCGCCTTGACGGGCGCGGGCGACGCGGCGGCGGCGGTGGCGTTTGCGGAGGTGTCGGGCATGCCGATTACACCCGGCTCCTCGTCAGCAATACCATCGCCGTTGTCGTCCGCAAACCCGGCTACGGCGTACTGCGCGCCATCCTCGCCCGCTGCCACTGTCGCCGCCATGCCAGCCGGGTCGGCGGGCGAGCTTGGGGCGTCTGCGTCGCCGGCGCCGGCGCCGGCGTCCCCGTCGGCCGGCAGGGGCTCAGGGTCTGGGCCGTGGAAGATCAGGACGTTGGGGGTGCCGGGCGCAAGATAGGCGCCGGGTGGCGGCACGAGCGGCGCGGCCAGGGTGCCTTCGGCGGCTTGTGGGGTTGCAAGGGGCGGGAACTGTGCCTCGGTCTCGATGTCCTGCACGAAAGCAAGCTGGTTGCGTGGATTGAGGTGATTGGCTTGCTGTTGGTGTTCAAGGCTGTGGCGTGACGTCACGCGGGCCGCATTCGCGTTGCTTGTGGCGACGAAAACAGGGCAAGGTCCATCGCGTCGCGCCCGCCGCGCCGGTGCGCGTCACACAAGCACGAAGTCTGTTGAGCGTTGGCACTGTCCCGCCCAACACGCCACGACTGCGTGCCGTGGGCGCGGCCGCGCACCCCAAGGACGCCGGCGCGTGGAATGGCGTCGGCGATGACAATCGTCTGACCCCGCGCGTTGGTGATGCTGCGGCACGGGCGGCGGGTGGAAAGCAAAGGGTTTGCGCACGACGACGTGACGGAAGGTGGGAGAAGGCTACGAGAGAGTACTCGTGTGCAGCGCCGCCTGCAAGCCGACCAGCGCCGCAGGCCTCTGGCCTCCGGCCGAGCGGCGCCCCTCAGCCAACCAACCGTGGGGATGCACCCTGCGGCCTGTTGGTCGGTGCTTCTACAAGGGCCCCACGCGGTGGGCTCACCGCATGTGCAGGGGCGGGGGCGGGACACCATTGAGCTCCCAGGCGGCGCCGTATGTGTTGTTGGCCTTGCGCCAGAGGCCGCCGCCGCGGGCGCGGGGGCTGCGCACTACCCTGGGCTCGATGAAGGTGGAGGACGCGTTGAGGTTGGTCGCGGCGGCGGGGGCCTGCGGGGGCGGGGGCGCGGGTGGCACGGGCGGGCACGTGCACTGAGGGTGCGAGCAGCAGAGGTGTGCAGAGCGGAGGCTGCGGGTGCCTCACGTGTCTTTTGGCTGTGAGCCACAGCTTTGGGCATGAAGATACCCAGGTCTGAGCATGCCTTGATGCCTGGACCAGGGTTGCATATTGCATGCGCAGCTTCGGAGGTACACTCGTAGTGATACAAAGGGACCCACCAACTCAACAGCAGCGATCTGGCCGTCGCCGCCGATGTTCTTGAGCGCCAGCCGCAGCCAGCCGCCCTCAGTCACGCGGTAGGCGTCTGGCCGGATTGGCCGCGGGGTGTGGAGGGTGTCGATGAAGTGGGGTGCGGGGAGGTTGGGTTTTCGTGCTGCGGGAAAATTTGCAAGGAACCGTGCTGCGCGCGGCGTTGTGCCGCGCGCCTCGTCACACACAGCTGCAGTGGCGGCACCTGCGTCTGCCACAACAGGCCCTTCAAGTTTGCTGCGCCTCACCGACATGTATGGTGATGGGGTCCACGGGCTCACAGGCGATCAGCCTGAACGGGGCACAGAAGGCAGACAGGTGCGCGGCTGTGTGAGGCTGCTGCATCTGCATGCAGCACACGCAGCCAGGCCGGGTCGGGTGGCAAGCGTGCACCCCCAGGAGAAGCCACCCGGCTGGGGGCCTCCTTGAGTTTCATGCCCACCTGTAACGGACATCCACAGTGCCTAGGTCAGTGGGCGCCAGCATCTCAAAGCCAAACACGTGCAGGTTGACCTGCATGGCAGAAAAGCACATGGGGCCATGGCAGCAGCGGCTTCAGTGCATGCAAAGGCTCGCATGCGAGATTGCCGAGGCATGCTCGGCCCGACACCCCATGGCCGCGCATCATGGTGATGCATGGGGTGCACGTGGCGCATGAGCGATCCGCATGCATACATATATGAGTGCATGCATGCGGCATGGGGCCTCAAGCGACGCCGTACGTCCAGCTCAATCCTACATGGCACGGCCCACCGACCGCCTTGCCCCACCTGCGATGAGCTGCAGCGCTCGGCGCACTCATCCGTAATCAGTGCCTGCACGGGCCCAACTCCTGGGTGGCAGGGTGCGCCGACGCACTCGACCTCCAGGCACGAGCCGCAGCCGCGCTCCTTGAGGCTTTGGATGAGAGGGTTTGAGGGGCTCAGGCCGGCGACGAGGTAGAAAGGCCTGCATGTGGTGGGGTCGGTTGTGTGCTGCGAATTGGCGGTCTGGGGTTGGTCGGGGTCGTGGTCGAGCCGAGGGGCCGAGGCGTGGGGCAGATGGCGTTGCGGGTGCTTGGCGCAAAGCTGCCGCACCATGAGTGCGAGGCAAGGCCGAGACCGGGCAGGCTGCTCCAGGCTGCTGCAGAGCTTATTGCAGCGCTAGCGAGCACGCGCGCCGCGGCTGCTGCAACCATGCGTGCGCTGCTACTGCCGTTACCAGAGTTTGGGGTCGATGTCGCCGTAGCCGCAGGAGCCGGTGGCTATCTTAGTGTTATATTCGGTGGTGGCCGAATCCTGGGGAGGTGAGGGGCATGGAAAGGGGCCCATGAGATAGCTGCCCACAATGACGACCGCAGGAGCTTGCGCGCGCACTGCAGGCCAGACTCGCTCACATGCGCAAGGCACCCCGCTTATGATGGATGCTGCTGCTGCCACTGATAGTTCACTCTGCTGCTGCGCACAACCACCGCACCTGCGGGCCGCCGTAGAAGGTCGCTGCCCCGCTGTACCAGCCGCTGAAAGGTGTTGAACCAGCGGCGGCGACCACCGCCGCGACCATCAGCACCACCAGCAGCATGGTGGCGGGCCGCACCATTGGTGGATCGGGGTGTGCACGTGACGTGAGTGGATGTACACTGCTGGAAATGGATGTGGCAGCGTAGCGAAAACACGTTGAACAGCGGTTTGATCTCTAGATCCCGGGCACTTTGCCAGCTTGGAGCGGGAGAAAAGTGTATGAGAAAAGTGTAACGAGACTACAAATTTAATGTGGGGGTGTGATGTATCAGGGTACCGCAATATGCAACCTCCAGTTGGTCGAGCAGCTTCTCCCGCGCAAAATGAGTACTGTTCCGATTGCAGGCTGTCGTTGAACCGCATTGCACGGCAGAATAAGTATTCTGCATACTGATATCTTATAACAGTATTTCATCACATTGGTAGTGACAGGCAGTTTGCAGCAATTGTGCTGCTCTATCCTGGCGAAACCATTGCGCTTGCATAATGGTGTATATGACGCAGCTTCATGATCATGCTGCCGGCGGCGCGACACTGGCGTCGATGCGCGGCGCGCCTGCTGTCGTCATTTCGCATCCGCTGGCTGAGCTGGCGGATGGGGGCCGCAACGCAAAAAGTATCAAAGGTCCGATTAACCCACGCAAAAGTCACAGCTCACAAGCAGCCGTGGTCGCAGCCGTGGCCAGGGGGCTCAGACACAGCGCCATGCAATGCAGATGCTTGGGTGGGGGGTTGGCGCCTGTGAACATCGCATGCACTGTTGCCTCGACGCCCCATCCCCTCCATCCACCCACCTACAGACTGCACCGAGCTCTGCCTCAGCGGCCGCGCCATCGAGCGCCTGCACGGCTTCGAGCCCCTGGTGAACCTGGAGGCCCTGTGGCTCAACGGCAACGCGCTGCGCTGCGCTACAGGGCTGGACGCCAACACGCGGCTGCGGGAGCTCTACTTGCACGTGGGTGCCCTCGCCAGTCAATCGTCCATATACCATACAGGCACACCAGTGCCCGGCGCAATCACTTTCATGCCAAGCGGTGACAGGATGACGAGGCAGTCGCCGGCGCTGCAGTCGAGTGGGGCCGGACTGAGCTTTCCAGCCAGGGGCCATGACAGCCCAGCCCTCCCCCTGCCCCCAAACCCTTGAGACGGCTTCTTGGAACCGCTGGACCCTCTCACCGTAAACAGGACAACCAGCTGTGCACTCTGAGGGGCAGCCTGGGCCGCCTCAAGTTCCTGACCCACCTGGACTTGGGGGGCAATCTGCTGCGGGACCTGCCAAAGGTGCTGGCGCGCCTGGAGCGGCTGCGCTGCTTACGGCACCTGAACCTGCAGGTGCGGGGAAGCTGCCTAGCAGGGCAGCCGTGGTGAATGTGCACGGCTGGGAATTCTGCATCTGCCCGCAATGCACGCCGTTGGGCGCCGCCGCCATGCTTGCATTGAAAACGGGGCGCGGCGGCGAGAGTTGCCACGGCATGCCCATTTGAGCCGTCGCGGGAGTGTGCCTTCTAGGCACGCCTACTAAGCGTGCGCGTGTTTTCAGCTTAGCCAGCGCTTATCAGAGAGAGTTTGACGTCTGCTAACGCGCATGCTCGGGCGCAGGGCAACCCGTGCTGTGAGGAGCCCGGCTACCGGCTGCAGGTGGTGCACAGGCTGCCGTGGCTGGAGGTGCTGGACTGGCACCAAGGTGGGTGAGAATTCTGCTGACACAAAGGGTGGCTTGAAACTGGGAGCACCCGAGGCGAATTGAAGGCTTGGGGGCAGCCGAGTAGGCTGTAGACTGTGAGCAAGGGCGCGCGCGTTTGTCGAGGGGAGGGGGTGCGTCATTCAGGCACGGGGGCGAGCACGCTGTACGAGGGAGAGGGGCGGGCCGGGAAGGTGTGAGGGCGCAGGTGTGAGCACTTTGCCTGCTAGCCTAGCAGCCCAAAAGACAAAATATTCTCAAGTGGCTGAGTCACTGCACAGCCAGTGAAAGCACAAAGCCAGCCAGAACTACCTCAACACAATATGTGTAACACCACACAGACCAAACACCGCTAAGCACACCCACACGCACGCGCATTCCCTGCGTCTTTGCAGTGACCGACGCCGAGCGCCGCAGGGCGCGGGAGGTGGTCGGCGGCGATGTGGTGTCCTCTACGGTTGCTTTTGGGCGGCGGGTGCCCGCCGACAACGCGTGGCGGGAGCGGGCGCCGCAGCAGAGCGTCCTCGAGCAGGAATTGGCCCAGGTGAGGGGTCCTGTGCTGCAGATTTTTTACGTCCTATGTAGAATTCACGTTTGGAGCGCACAGAGGTGTTGGTGTTTTGGCGGGGACAGTGGAGGAACCATTAGCATCAGACTTTCGTAGGCAATCGGCCTGAATCTGGTCAAGAGCGGGCAGCGCCATCTTCGCCGCATGCCATTTAAGGACCCTTGCTCCCTGCGCTGCCGCAGGCCGCTGCGCGCGTGCGTGAGGCGCGGCTTGAGGCCCAGGACCGGATCGAGGCGGAGGCTTACATGCGCAACCCCGACGCAGCCTTCTGGATGCCCCGCGACACGCTGCCGCCGCCGCCCGGCGTCGCAGCGTCAGCGACGGGCTTGCCCCTGGGCTCGACTTTGGCGCCTGGAGCGACTGCGGGCTGCGACGGCGGGCAGGGCTTGGTTCGGGCTGGCGCACGCGGCGGTTGCCAAATGTATGTGAGTAAGGATGTTTATGTGCTTCACAGGCATCATGCGGCCACGGAAGTTCGCAACGGGTGCGGTGGCGTCGGCACCAGCAACAGCGGCAGCAGCGGCGGCGGCTGCGGCGGCGTGGCAGGGTTGCAGCCCTCTGGCGTGGTGACGGTTGCTCGCAGCGTGTTTGAGCCCCGGTGGGCTGTCAGCAGCGTGGCGCTGCGGGTGTAATGGTGGGCTGGAGTGTGCTGCTGGGGCGGCCCATACCCCAGGCCTGGCAGGGAGCTGTGTAACCTGGGACCCTGGCCGCCCCTGACATGACGGCAGCATGTATCCGCGAGGCGACTGTGCAAGGGTGGAGGCTGCCGCTCCTGCAGAGAGTGCTGGGCATGCCCCGCCACTGCCGTGGCACGGCAATGTGTTCCAGCTTGGCTCACCCTACTTGCTTACTTACTGCTTGCGTGAAAAAGGCGCCCGGATACCGATGGGCACGCAGTCTCGAAGCGTTGGTCAACGAGTCAATGCATGACGGCTGTGTGGATCGTGATACGTGGTCCGCATGAAATGACTCAGTACCCTCTACGTTTGATTGTTCATAATCCATGGTCACTGCGCCACAATGTTGCGTTCGCGACCATGCCTCGTTCCCCTCGGACCGCCACGTGCGCGGCAGATAGCCTTCTCAGCTCTCACAATGAGCTTCAAGCCCCGCCTGACAAGCTTAAGGGGCGGACCAGCGCCCGCCGAGGCGGGACGCCGGTCCAAGCGAGGTCCCTCGGGAGCGGACCCAGCGCCAGTTCGCCCAGATGCAGTCGAGGCGCCCGATGCGGAGCCGGCCGTCCCTGCGTCCGGCGACGGCAGCAGCAGCACAGCAGCCGCTGGCAGCGACGGCGGCGCCTCCAATAGGGAGCTGGCGCACAGCTACAGCCTGCAGCTGCTGGGCGACCAAGATCTGCAAGACTGCCCTGGCGATGCCGACCCTTCCAAAAAGCCCATCCGCCGGCTCGCGCGCCGCCGGCAAACGCCGGCGGCGCCTGGCGTCGGCAAGGGCATTGCTACCAGCGCTTCATCGTCGCAGCGGGGTGGCGGCGGCACCATTGGCACGGCAAAGCCGGCGCGGCGGCGCGGCGCCCTCTCCTCGCGCCCGCCGGCAGATGAACTGTCAGATGAGGAGATGGCAGAGGTGTACAGATTCGGCGTCGACCCTGTGGATCTGGGCTGGCAGCCGCGCGGCAAGAACCCCCGCAACACGGCCGCCCGGGTGGAGTTGTGGGAGCACCCGGCGACCGGCGTGCGGGTGCGCGGAGGGAGGGGCGACCATGGGCCGCCCATCGTTTGCTTGCAACGATTTGGTCGGGCTGCTGTTGGGGTGGGCGCTGCTGGGTGAAGCACACGACAGCTGAAGTGGATTTGAAGGCACGCAGGAGTGGCTCAGGCAAGGAAAGCTTTGATGTTGCCTTCTTGCCGCTGAGCACGCTCCCCACCGAATCATTGCCAGCCACCTTGCTCTTCAGCTCTCTTCGGCAAGCCCTGGCCGCTCCAAGCCCTTCAGCCAACAATTGAATCCGCCAACGCTCACACCCGCCCGCCTGACGTCACCGTGACGTCATTGCCTGCGCGCCCCCAGGTGGATTACTACTACACCACAGGCAAGGCCAAGGTCACCGACAGGCGGTGCGGCCGCATTGAGTACATCGTGGTGGCCAGCAGGGACCAGATGACTCACATGCTGCGGCGGTGGGCGCTGCAAGGGGTGGAGGAGCGGGAGGACGAGGAGGAGGAGGAGGAGGGGGATGACGAGGAGGACGAATGAGACATGAAAGGCTGCAGCACAAAGGCGGTCCTGGTGTGCGAGCTAGTGCAGGGGCCGCCTGTCTGCGCTTCGATGTGGTGGGTGTGTTCATCTTTCGACAAGATTGACATATACACTCTATTGTACATGGGGAGAGATGTTGTGGGGGAGGTGGCCAGTCTTTCACGCCTCCGCTTGGTGCCCAGCAGAGACATATTCACATGTTGCAGCTTATCACCCCAAAGTTTGCTCGTGCAAGTACGCGCACGCGGGCTTGCCAATTCAAATGCAACCGCTGTAAGCCCGGCGTCATCTGTCCCTTCCTGAGGATCAGGGCTGCCCGCCACCCCGCACGAAGCACTCTGAGTGTAAATGTAAGGCTGCCGGCCCGGCCTGAGGACACCGCATCGGGCTGCCATCCGGCACCCACGAGCGTGAGCGCAGCGGGGCCTTTTGTTTACAAGGTACCATCTGGAATCAACTGTCGCAAGCCAACGGAGCATGAGGGGTCCGCGCAGGCCCGCCGTCGAAGCGGCAGCCAGCGGAAGAGGAGATAAGCCGCCGCCTGCCCATCATGCAGTGAGATGGGGGCTGCCACCGAGGAGCAGCCCGCCACGCGCTTTGCGTGCGCGCCGTCCGAGATGCGCGCTGCGCGCCACTCCCGATCCCAGCTGCTAGTGAGGGCCAGGGGAACATCCATGATGCAAAGAAAGAAGCGGTCAGCCTACTGCACAAGCCACCCACCGCGGCCGCCACCGCACCGCGCCCGCCATGCAGCGCACGACGCCGCCAGGCCGGATCACGCTCCTGGCCAGATCACGCTCCTGGCCGGGTCGCGCTCCTGGCTAGATCACGCGCGCAGGTCGCCCTCGAGCTTGAACACGAGGTTGTTGAACTCCTCCAGCTTCTTGGCCACGCTCATGTCCACCAGGCGGTCCTCAAACTCCAGTACAAAGCCGCCCAGGAGCTTGGTGTCAATCTTGTGGTTTTTTTGAGGGGAGGGGGGGAGGGGTGCGTTTGGGTGAGGTGGGACGGCGTGCGTTGGTGCAAGCTGAGAGCCGCGCGTGCGAACGTGTATGCGTGCGTGTTAGTGTTAGGGAGAGCACACGGCACGTGCGCGCGCGCGTGTGTGTGTGGGGGTGTGTGCACGTGCACACGGTATGTTGAGTGTGCGTGTGAGGTGATTGTGTTGTGCCTGATAACGAGCTGCAACAAACAATTGCACAGCACTCAAAC